TGGTAAAAACATGTACATATGTATTTAAAAAAATAGAGTTCTGGCCAGTTTAACCCATTTACGGTCGAAAACGGAAGTCGGTTATACGACCAAAAGATAGAGTACCCTCGACTTGGTAAAACATATTTTTTGGTTTTCCAATTAAAAACATTTTCACTCATTTAAGAAGTCCACGACGAGTTGGAGTTCGAAGGTCATTTAGAGGTTGAAAAAGGCACTTCCGAAAAAAACATGAAAAATATAACCAAAAAAGAAAAACAGCCTAGTCGAAATGCTGACAATGTGAAATCTAATTAAAATATATTTTTTTTTAATATTTGAAATTGGCAATTTTTAGCATTTTTCGACACCTCAACAGTTTATCTCTAAAAAAAAATAGCATAAAAAAATATATGAAGGTGTTGGTCCGTCCAAATTTGATTGAACCGTGTAATCAGTAAAATAAAATAAATCAACAAGTAAAAGTTTTGAAAGCAACTTTATAATCCTATATGAAAGTACATATTTTTGATTATTTATTTATTTTTTATTTATTTTTTTTTTACTAAATTCGAATTTGATCAACATTTAACACTGTAACATATACAACTATGTATCTTAATTATTATTATTATTTTTTTCGAATAATAATTCAATATCGACAATTTTGCAATTAGGAAATGTTTGGCAATTTATTAAATATAATATTATTATGAATACACTTTTAGAGCTAAGCATATTTAATTTTAAAACAAAATAAATTGGCTGAGTAATACTAAGCCGTTTCGTCTTGCGCTTTAAAATAATTGAGAATAAATTCTTCCACATACATACATCAGCCGTAGCTTAAATAATTTAAAAATGTTATAGATAAAATTAAAAACAACGCTAATTTATGCGCAAACCTAAAATTGGCACATTTTTTCAAGATTTTATTTTAAAACTACAGGAATACATACTTTGTATAGCGTAACGTAAATCTGATCCGTTAAAATATGTATACTAATGGAGTTTTTTGTTTTTTGTTTTTTTTTAATTGAATCCAAATCATTCTATACTTACGCTGGCAATGAATTTATAATTTGAGTTTAAAAGGAAACACGTTCTTATTTGTGACTAAATTCAATTCCTCTGAAAGTATGCGCTTCGCGGGCAAAGGACATGGCATTATTTTGAACGGAATAAAGATTTAATAAAAATATGGTGAGTACCTATAAATTACCGATATCGGACAGCAGCGACTGAAGATCAGATACATGTGTAGGACATTCGTTTGAGATGTAGCGTCGACTACCAGCAATTCACACAGGAATTTTATAGAGCATTGTAGCATTTTTTCAAGCTAGAACCGACACGAAGAAACGATAGACTAATCATTTTATCTACTCACAACCTAGAAGTCGATGAGGCTTCAAATATGAATTTCTTCAGGCATCTCAGTTTAGTATTCTAGGAAACTCTTCTCCCAAAAAATGCACGTTAAGCTAGATACCGTCCCATTACAAAAATACTAGCATAGTTGAAGTACGTAAGTAGTACTTATACAAACAGGCCTTATGCCAGGCTACTTTACCTAACCTAAATCAGCCTAACGATTTCTAGAACATAAAAATTATATCCCTTCAAATGCATGCATACATACATAAAAATATAACTTGGAAAAATATATATTTTTCTCATAAGCGCTATAAGGAATTTTTAGAATGCTCATTAGTTAGTGATCATAAATGATCACATTGGGGAACTGAGCTTAGGTAATTTTGGAATTTTTTTTACCTTGTTCGTGGTATACCTACATATATTACATTACACTACATTTCGATGGCTGAGTGGAAGATCGACCTATCTCGGCTGCCAGTTCGAAAACGCTCTATCTCAAAAAACTTTTCAAGAACGCCCTATTTCAGAATTTTATTGAAAAACACCCTATCTCAAAATTCGTTAGGCGTTTTAGAAACGAATTCTGAAATAGGACGTTCTTGAAAAGTTTTTTGAGATAGAATGTTTTCGAACTGGCTGCCGAGATAGGTCGATCTTCTCCACTCAGCCATCGATTTGTACAACATACTTGTGAGAGTTTGCTGTACCTTTGCTGAAATAAAACTAACACGAACCTAAAGAATTTATTCTTAAAAAATTCTAAAGCATAAATCTGGAGTAATTTTACAACACTTCCCGTATAGCCTGCATTTTGAGGAGACTCACAAGGCATCATAGCGATGCAGATTGCCTAATGTCAAAACTTTTGAAAAATAAATACTTATTTTTAGGTGCTAAAAATTATATACATTAGACTATTATGACTCCCTGTGAATCACCAAAATATATCCCTACATGTATGTATAATACTTTATAAATAATACAATTATTAACTGGCTACAAAAAAGGAATCAATTCGTCGGAATACTTTTTATGCCGGACTCCATGAACCGTTTTTAATAACTGTTTTTTTTTTAATCATTAGATCATGAAGAAACTGATGGTAATCCAAAATTGTATACATATGAGCATTGAAATCGGTTGTTGCTTTTTTTTGTTTGTTTAAAAATTACTTGTTCTTTTAAATGGCCAAAAATCTGGATGGTCTTTTGTTTGAGTCACTCACTATCTTTCAGTTCATTGAAAATTCGCATATACGAGTAGTTACACATAGAATATTACCTTGTTTATACCGACACATAAAGGGCTTTGACCTAGTTCGCTGTGATTTAAAACGGATACATAAACTGAATTTCAAAGCGCGTTGAAATTGAAAAGTGTACTGACTCGAATTAGTTTTCAAATCGGTTTTTTATTTCTCACTTCGGTTAGAAAACAGGTATAAACACATCACTCATTTGACGCGAAGTGAAAATAGGCTGATGCCCGTCTTAAATTTTAATTATTATTAAAATAAATTTGAATTATTGTTCGCTTCTATTTCGGTGAACCGTGCAAAGTATTTGTTAAAGAAATATCGAATAATAAACAGCAAGTTTTGTTTACTTTTGAATACGGTTTCAGCGAGTGCGCTATAAAGACACAGGTATAAACTCTAGAAAGTAATATGTGTTCAGTAAAATCGGTTTTTTGTTAATGCGGTTCTTGCGTAGGTATAAACAAGGTATATATTACGTGTCTATGGACACTTGGAAGAACAACTCAAGTCAAGTTATGCCATTTTCCGTTTGAACCATTAAATCGGTGCTTCCTAATACAGAAAGGCCGCACAGCTATTGTTGAGATCGAACCCAACCTTAGGGCAGTTTTTTTTTTACACAATACACTCCGTTTGCATATGTCAAAGGGAAATCTACGCATTCCGCTCTATAGAGTCTTATTAGTAGATAAGATCGAAAAAGTCCTCGATTTCAAGGAGGTTGCTCTATGTCCCTTCTTAGACATCGATGATACTTTTGATAATATATACTGGCTACGGATTTATCTCAGGGCTTTGGTCCAAAGAGGTATAGATCTCTATTGTCGGGTGGATCGACACCATGCTTCGTGAGCGTAATATAACGTCGTGCTTGAGCAATAGTTCCACAAGCATTGAAGATGACTACATGCTAAAAGAAATGTGCTTTAGAATGCCATTTCAGACCGTGAGGTCTGGTCAATTGGATCACCTCAAATCGATCTCAGAAATGCAGGCTAGTATACAGAAAAATCGAAAATGGAGGGCAGAATAGGTGCGGCTGTCTATGGTACTGGCACCGAACTCTCCGTTGTAATGGGCATTTGGTCCACAATCTTTTTGGCCGAGGTCTTAGCAGTCTCAACCTGTACTAGATTCGACCTGATGGCTTTATCAAAAAAGATAATCACCTGCGGGACCGTCAAGGGGAGCTTTGACACTCTTCCTTTTCCTTTGTCTTGAAGAAGAGGAAACGTCAGAGCATATTATGTCTGATTGTCCGGTATTGGCCGGACTAACATTGTAATACTTTAGTTTTTCCGCAGTCGAATCCCTTAGTATCAGGAGTTCGTCTACCAATTTATTGCAAGCATTTATTAGGGAGGCTGATAGTGCCTTGGGCCGCCAGTGTGTTCAATTATTTCTCTTGTACCCAATAAATTACATAAGGTGCAATCCCGTATTCCTCGGACTCGGACTAGTAAAACTGTCAAAAAATAAAAATTCGCTCAGAGCGAGAGAGTAACATTGAAAAGTACGGGATTGCTTTCTAGTAAAAACTGGTAACTTCTGTCAACTTCAACATAACCTCCAAATTTTGGTTGTAAATTTTTGCTTATTTTGTATGTAAACACACTCAGCTCACACATGTAAATAACCAAAAATACTTTCAAATTCATTAGAATCTACTTAAACAAGTAATTAATTACTTTTCAACATGGATTAGCGGAGTGCACTTTACAATTTGGTTGCCAAACACACTACAGCTGATCGTTTGACACATTTACCAGAACTTGCCAGCAAAAAATCTTCGGACTGAAACTGGTAACTTCTGACAGAGAGAGGACCTCTTTTATTCTCCTTTTTGTCCTCTCAATAGTCAGAGAACCGAGTACGGGATCGATTTCCAGTAAAATCTGACTGATTCTGACTATTTCTGACTAGTCCAGACTCGTACGGGATCGCAACTATAACTAACAAGCTACATAACTACTTCTCACTACAAAATCAATACAGCTAAAATCACGCGAGTTGTGTTTTCAAATGCCCACAGATATACATACATATGTGCCTGTATACATATTCGCTTGTATACAACGCATTCGGATCTTCACAATAAAGCCAAACAAAACAATCATCGACGGCAGCAATATCAATTTGAGCTACATAGCAAAACTATTGGCTTACATAGCTAAATCTTCTGGACTCTTCAACTTAATTTCTATTGTAATTTGCAATTATTGATGTAATGCTACTAAGTAAATATGTATCAGTAGTTAATAAAGGTAAATGGACAATTTACTTTGGATGGCGTGCGCGAGTTCTTTTATGTCTGTTGACGCAACTGGTTGACAACTTGATTAACCGTTTTTAGTTAAACATTCATTACGATATACTAATTACGATATACTAATTACGATATACTAAATTAATTGACTCCCATCTCTGCCACTGCTGCATTGGCATTCACATCCGCCGCCTCACCACTGCTGTTGTCAGTTGCTAATAGCTGAACACTATTACTATTCACTTCCGCTCGATCAACAATTATATTAGTCCAGTTAGCATTCGCTTTGACTATCTCAATGTCGTAGCGTAACTTTTGCAAATCCCCATAGTTAAGCGTAGTTGCCTCGCATGCCTGTAGCACGGATAATACATTCTCCAATTGGTTGGCGTACACACGCAAACGCTCATTGTTGCTGTTGTCCTCCTGCCTTTGCTCCGTCGTCATGCACTGTGTGTGTGTGTGTGTATGTAAGTGAACGGCATTTGTGTAACATATAAATTTGCATATTTCAAATTTCAATTTATTACCTCGGCATTTTTAATAACTGCACTTAGAAGAAAGTTTCGTATTTTGAGTTGCTTGAATTGTCCTTCCGTTTGCCACATTTTTAGCAAACTCAAAATGTCATCCGCATCGTTTTCGGCTACATTTCCCGCTTTAGCTGTGCCGTTATTCATTGGTGTTGGGCTTGGTGCGTTGGTGGGGCAGAGTAGTTGCTGTTGCAAAGGTGAAAACTCAACTGTCGGTGAGAGTTTCTTATAATTGCTGCATAGTGTACTCAAATTACAAATGTCCTGCGTTAGACGCTGTCGGTTGGCCATCATTAAATGTTTTGAGGGAATTCAATTCGAATTTGCAATTAGCCAATTCAAAAGTGCGGTTGGTTTTCAAATAATTATGAATTTATTTATGAATGTATGTGTGTATGTTATGTAATATGTTGGCAAGTATGTGTGATATTAAAAAAATTTCGACATTTTTCGCTTTTAGCATTATAAGATAAATTCGAAAACCGTTATTTAGGTGGGAAACGTAAAATGTGTATTCACGTTGGCGTTTGTTGATGGGGTGTGAGATGTGACATCATGTCATGGAATAATTGAAAAAATAAAATCACATTAAAGATCTTTATGAAATGATTTGCGAATCTAATAGTATGTGGCGAAAAATATGAGGTGTGTGATTTGAAGCTAATCTTATTTAAATAAATGGAAACCAAGCTCTACGTAGTGGAAAAAATTATATAACTCCAAATTTAAATAAAATATGAGGAAAACCCGAATGTGTTTTAGAAAATATTAAAATTTATATTT